TAGCAGCGAGGACGTAAAGCGGTGCCAGGGCCGAGGTGCCCTCTGTCGCCATCGCAGGAGCCGCGGAGGTGCGCGGGTCCGTATGGCGGCGGTTGTGGACCGAAGTACCCAGGGCAAGGTTTGCCCCCAGGTTCTAGCCCAGTTTTATCTCTTTACATCGAGGCCGGTCACCTGCTGAGGCAGGATTGAAAGGCAAAGGAAATCCTCTCCAGCGGCCGGGCAAGAATCCCAATGCAGCCCAGTTAAGAGTTGTTAAGGGCGCTTTTCTCCCTTCTCAGTCATAAGCAGTTGTCTCTCTAGTAATCTCACCAGAAACCCAGTTTACAGGTAGAGGACTTGTAATAAACCCGTTGTGCCACCTTAGTGGCATCTGATTTTACTTTATCAGATTATAATTCCACCCAAGGAACCAGCCTATAAATTCACTTAACAAAAGAGAGGGAAGTGAGGTGGTTCTTAGCAACCTTTTGAAATGTAACTTAACCACCAAAGATATATGTGGCTAATACGAAGACAATTTTGACACCCCATTGAGGAGTCCATACTTACTAGTATTGCCTTACTTTGTTTCCGGTTGCGCCTTCTAAGCCTCACGCTTATGCCCGTGTTAAAGTTATCTTTAATACAGTCTCCAGCTCTACCTCGACCTTGTGGCTAGGCCTGAAATTCCCTTCATCCTCTAAGCCAGGAATCCTGGTTTGCCTGAGTCAAGGTCCCTAAAGTAGTAGGACAACTCAGGCTGCTGAAGGTGACAGTGTAGTGCTGTTTTCCTGTCTCCTCACTGCTGACATTCTCTTGCCTGGGGCCCTGTGTAAGGATAGGGTCAGCTGCAGCAATAGTGACTACTCTTTTCTGATGTGACAGGCTGAGGTTTTTGAGTGGCTGCTCCTTTCAAAATACTCAAGGATTCACAGGCCCTGTTCAGTCAGAGCCCTTTGGTTCGGTTTCCACCAATGTTAGTTTTTGTACACTTTCACTTTCACCATTCTGATTTCCTATGGAGGGGGGAGGGAAGGTGTTCAGACTTCCTCCTTCCCCCAAATATGTGACTTTTAGGTGGGTGGAAGTCTCTGGGATAATAGTACTGGGTGTACCTACGATTAGACCCAGGCATGTGGCATGAAAGTTGTGTTTATGTGTTAAACAATCTCAAGCCATATGTCAGCCACCATTCTAGGATCTGAGAAGACAGATTGATAAAGAGCATTTGTGGCCTCCAAAAATACATGGCTGCAGTATGTTAAGAGTAGACTGAAGTAGGGTCTGGTGACATAGGCTTCAGGAGTAGAGGCAGGAGGCTCAGTAGTTCAGGGGCATCCTCAGCTACAGAGGTCTAAGCCAGTTTGGGCTACATGAGACCCAGTCTCAAATAAATAAATAAATAAATAAATAAATAAATAAATAAATGTGAACTCTGAGATAGGCCTGAGACATAGGAGGCTGAGATAGGAGAATCACAGATTCAAGATATAATGAGTTCTGGGCCATTCTGAGCTATATAGTGAGACCTTGCCTCAAAAGAGAAAGAACAGAGTCTGTAGGGCTGAACTTATGGCTC